AGTTTCTTTGCGGCATGTGGGATCGTCCCAGACCAGGGCTCGAACCCGTGTCCCCTCCATTGGCAGGCGGATTCCTAACCACTGCGTCACCAGGCTAGCCCCTAAATTAATTAATTTTTTAAAAATGTTAATGTTCAATCTATTATATGTTTTTATTCAAGGACAATGGCTCAGATAAACATTGTTGAACATGGAAGACACCAGGGAATATAGTTCTTATGAACCCTACCTAGAGGATAGACTTCAGCTTAGCAGAAACTATAGCACAAAGTCTGGAGGTGAGCTTTGAATCCATTTAACTATAGAACTAAGATTTTTTTAAAAAGGTTATGATAGCAGAACAGGTTATGAATATTACAAATACTGACAATATACTTTTTTTTTAAAAACCACGTTGCTTTTATTCATGAAAAAATCGCTAAAAGTAAACACCACCAGAGTAGTTAGCGAACAATTCACAAACTTTATAAACATATCTCATTTACTTCTTGTAAAGCCCTCAGATTTAATGAATGATACTCCAGTGTTTCCATCAAGTTACAAGATGAAATGATTCTTTGATGCCTTATGCTTCAAGTCTGTCTTTCTGGAAGGTTTGTTTTGGGTGTTTAGTTGGTTTTATTGTTGTGGTTGGTTGGTTTGTCTTATAAAATGAAGGTGTGATATGAGCAAGTATCACAAGCCTTCTGGAGACTACTCTTGGTCCTAGAAGTTTCTTTGGGAAGAATCTGGCAATCTAAGAATTGAAGATTGTGAAAACTTCTTTCATCATTCAAACCACAGCTGACTCTGGTCGTATTGGAAGTCTCCCTCTCTGGCTGCCTTTTTATAGTGGTCTTCATATATCAGCTTTCTTCTGAGTAACTGTGAACCTGGGAATAAACTCCATTCACACTTAAGTGTGACTTAAGTCAAAGCTATTCAAGCTTCTCACACAGTGTCTAACCTTAGAAACATTATGTAATTTGCATCATCACTAACGGCCCCAGCAGCTGCTCTTCTTTTCCTTATTCTTTTTTTTTTTGGCCACGCCGCACAGCATGCAGGAACTTAGTTCCCCGACCAGGGATTGAACCCGTGCCCCCTGCAGTGGAAGCCCAGAGTCTTAACCACTAGACCACCAGGGAAATCCTTCTTTTCCTTATTCTTGAAAATTATTTGTACCACTGAAACAGAGACATGTGGAAGTTAGACATCTCTGTTTCTCTGGCCAATTTCAATTTACACTCAGAGGAAATATTTTTCTCTCTTTTGGTGTCACAACTTCATTTAATTCTTATCATGCATCATTTATTCCGGTTTAGGGATTGTGGTGCTATAAATAATAATACAAATGAGACTTTAAGCAGGGCATGTTCAGTTAGCTAAAATGCCTTGTTTGGCTGTCTACTGTAGTAGTCTCTAAACGGTTTTGATCGCAATCCTGGGAAGTACAAGATTTGTGGGCATATGAATGTATTTATGTATAGATTATACGGACATGTGCCACAATATTAATATGTTATGTTCATTATAAAATGTAATACAGAAATTTCTAAGGAATTAAAGGTAAAAACATTTTATTCATTAATGGCAAATGACTTTTTGCCATCACTTGAAATTATTAATAACATCTAACAAGAACAAGGTGATTTCACATACTTTATTATTTCTGAACATCTCGGTTGAATCCTTTGTGACTGAGCAATTTCAAGTTCAGTTTGTTTTACTATTTGGTCTTAACGGCTGTCAGAGATACCTCACAAAGGTATGTAGATCTAAATGGGAAAAGGGTATCATGACTCCGAATCCCTGTTTTTAATTCCATCCTCTGATAATGAAAAAGCTTAAGGGTTTTTTTCTTAATTAGTTTGTTGGTATTGTTAATTGAAATTCAGCTAATAAATATCCATCGCTCCTGATACCAATTAGTTGCTCTTGAAAACTTATCAAAGCCATTGAATTTTTATACTTTTAAAAACTGTGCTCTCAAACCACTGAAACTTTTTTTGAATTTTTATTTTATTTATTTATTTATTTTTATTATTATTTTTTTAGAGGATGATTAATAAATTTTACGGATTATCTGGGCAGTTATGTGATTAAAAATAAAATAGTTTACATTTATTGAGTTCCTACTGTTTACCAGAAACTGTTCTAAGAGTTTTATTTACTTTATAATAAAAATAAGCTCTTATGACTTTACTTTAAATATTTTACATTTTTTTAAACATCTTTATTGGAGTATAATTGCTTTACGATGGTGTGTTAGTTTCTACTTTATAACAAAGTGAATCAGTTATACATATACATATGTTCCCATATCTCTTCCCGCTTGTGTCTCCCTCCCTCCCACCCTCCCTATCCCACCCCTCTAGGTGGTCACAAACCACTGAGCTGATCTCCCTGTGCTATGCGGCTGCTTCCCACTAGCTATCTATATTACGTTTGGTAGTGTATATATGTCCATGCCACTCTCTCACTTTGTCACAGCTTACCCTTCCCCCTCCCCATATCCTCAAGTCCATTCTCTAGTAGGTCTGTGTCTTTATTCCCGTCTTGCTCCTAGGTTCTTCATGACTTTTTTTTTTTTCTTAAACCACTGACACTTTGTACGACTTTTTTCACCAGATTAGAACATTCCATTTTTAACTTATTAAACATGCAGGTATGAAGGTTTCAATAGGTGTACACATTTTTTAAAACAGAATCACATTGCCAAATGTCTATTTTCAAAAATGCTCTCCCAATAACGCAGATTTCTTTTGAGAAGCAGTTACTTTCCCACTCACTGTTAAAAGACTGCTTCTATCTTGAATGGCTATATTTAAGTGGATTTTTCAAAATTATACATGTGGTACAAGGGGGCACCTCCTGAAACCATTTAACACAAAAAGGTCAGCAAATTTGGACACTTGTCTTTTTAAATTTTATTTATTTATTTTTGGCTGCATTAGGTCTTCATTGCTGTGCACGGGCTTTCTCTAGTTGCGGCGAGTGGGGGCTACTCTTCGTTGCGGTGCACGGGTTTCTCATTGCGGTGGCTTCTCCCGTTGTGGAGCACGGGCTCTAAGCACGCCAGCTTCAGTAGTTGTGGTGCGCAGGCTCAGTAGTTGTGGCTCGTGGGCTCTAGAGCACAGGCTCAGTAGTTGTGGTGCACGGGCTTAGTTGCTCCGCGGCATGTGGGATCTTCCCGGACCAGGGCTCAAACCCGTGTCCCCCACATTGGCAGGAGGATTCTTAACCACTGCGCCACCAGGGAAGACCGACACGTGTCTTTTTGTAAAAGTAAAATGAATTCTTTTTGTGAAAAAACCACCACCATGTGGTAGAAATACATTGACTTTCATTACTCTTCTCATCACAAAGTGTGCACAAAGATGCTACTATATTTTAAAGGTCTTGATGTTCTGGAATCACCTAAGTAATACTGGCCTCAGGCACTTTGTCTGCGCCTGGCTTGAACTCCTTTGCTCTTCAATAGCTTGCTCAATAATCTGCTTGCAAATGATGCAGCAAAAGAATTTCATATATGTCACTGCTAATGACAGTGAGCGCAGATCTTTATTTCAAATAACCTGCTTGATAATTCCTACTGAGCAGGGCTGGCTTCCGGTCAGATTTCACGAAATTACTTTTATCCACATGGGAACACCTGCCAGATGTCCCGCAGTATCTGTTCTCTCCTTCTTCCTCAGTATCAGAAACTCCATTTGAGCGCACATGACTGCCCAAAGCAGGGACTACATTTTCCAGACCCACCTCCCCCTTGTAGCTATTCGTGGCCTTGGAACTAAGTTTTGGTCACTGCGATGTAGGAAGAAATAATGGATAGCCTTAAAAGGAGGGGCATATCTTCTGCTCCCCTTTGGCCTACCTAGCTGGAATTCAGGTGTGATGGCTGAAACCTCGGGAGCCATCTTGAAGCAAGAGGGAGAAGCCAGATGCTGAGGCAGCCGAACAACAAGAGCGGAGGAATCTGGGTCCTTCACAGCTGTGCTGCCATCAAATCAGCCCTGGACTCTCCTGTGTTTATTGCTCTCTTTTTTGAGCTTTGTTGTTCTGGGTTTTCTGGCTCTTACTGCTGTATGAAACCCTAATTAACACCTGGTAACAGGGTTGATGAGGAACTCATGTTAGCAGTCAGAGAAGAGGCAACTCTGCAATTTTCTTTGCAAGCATGTGCTTACACTATTCTTACTACTTTCAATCTGCAGTTTCCTAACGGAAACTGCTTTTAAGCCACTTGCCATTTTGTCAGAATTAGTTTATAAAGAAAACATAATATAGTCTTTAAATCTACTTCATCAGGTGTGTGTGAACTGCAACACGGGTCTATAACTTTGAAAACAAACGAAGGAGGCGCCACCACTGATCAATCCAACTCTACTCTCCAGACAACTCAAGGACCATTTGAAACCCATGTGTGATGAAATACAGACCATCGGAGAACACCAGCATCCATATTAAATATTAATAAAGCTTCGGGGGGGGTTTGGTCAATACATAAATATACAAAGAAGTTCTACTTTCTTTCTGCTCCTCTCCACCCCTACTAACAAATGATTTTTGCACCTTCCTAGTATACAAGCACTCCACCCACTTTAGAGCCCAGTGTCAAGGTGTAGATGGACTAATAGCTAACTATAAAATTCTCTCCTGGGGCTTCCCTGGTGGCACAGTGGTTGAGAGTCCGCCTGCCGATGCAGGGGACACGGGTTCGTGCCCCGGTCCGGGAAGATCCCACATGCCGTGGAGCAGCTAGGCCTGTGAGCCGTGGCTGCTGAGCCTGCGCGTCCGGAGCCTGTGCTCCGCAACAGGAGAGGCCACAACAGCGAGAGGCCCGCGTACCGAAAAAAAAAAAAAAAAAAATCTCTCCTGGATCATGACAATATGCTGTGAGATGAAAATGTTCACTAGTGAAAAATAAGCATAAATGAGTGTTCTCCATAAAACTGAAAACTTGTAAAAGCAAATGGTAAATCAAGGGGTGGGTATACATAAAGATTTTGGCACCTTACCTGAATACCTCGAGAATAATCCTTTCCGATAACTTGGGAGCCACCTGCTTAAATGCTTTTTTGAAATCTTCCAGAGTTAAATATCCACGATCTATTTGAAAACAGCATACATAACATTCACACACTTCTATCAGCCCCATGAACTGCTATTTCAGCCATAACTTATGCGTGAGACTTTAATCTATTACTAGGAGAAAAGCAGTAAATTATAGTTGATTTTACATATAAGGTAATCTGAGATTGTCTTGTTGGAAGAATTTGAGAATCTAGTAATACTCTCCCTCAGTACAGCCCCAGATGCTCCTGCAGGTTTCTTCCAGCCCCATGACTGGCTGATTCCCTGAGTCCCAGGTAAAGGACTAAGGGACAGACACTGCAACAATGGCATTAGGCTTCCAAGTCTTTGTGAATTGCCAAAATAATTCATTCTTCAAAATTTACATTTTTTTCTTGCTTGGTATTAGAACTATATTATTATTTAGAGGAAAACCATGACAGAAGCCAAAATACTGAACCTGGACTCCACAAGTCTTTCAACCCTGTGTTCTGTGGGGAGGGGGTCTGAAGCTACTCCTCTGGGCCACCCCAGCATGGGAAAACAATTCCTCCAATTATGTGTGGGTCAAAGGAGGAGTCGGAAAAAAAGGCCTCATGGTCTCCCAAACTTCCATAAGTAGCTCTTCACCTATATCCCTGCACGGCCAGCCCTTCTGTTGTCCCCATTACATTGCAGGCAAATCATAAGTATTGTATAATTATATAACTGTAGATATTATTTCACCCATCGTAAGTGTCAAGAATTTAAGATTGTGACGGAGGAAAAAAAATGTACGCCAACATCTAAGGTAATAGCTAATGAATACAGTAAAATAACCTTCCAAGTATATTATTTTAGTTACTGAGTATGTTCCCATTCACAGTTCCTTAATAGCCATTTTTTATATCAAAACACTTTAAAGATACTTACAGTGCCTGTCAAAAGCTGTGAAGATGTGTCTTATTTCATTCCGATATAGTTGAGCTTCATTCTTTTTCCTTACAATGTCTAAAAACTCCTTAAGTAATATCCCTAAAAGTTGGAAAAAAACAATTTACTTTCTTCCTCTTTAAGAAGGAAACAAACCATAAACGGAAAGTGATACTACCACAAACAAATGTTATCTTAATTTTTGGTGAGTAGTATTTATTCATAAAGATCTCTAAAGTTGAAAAGACATTTCCTTAAAAGCTAAGTAGACTCCACATTAGCAATCGATGGCAAAAAGGATAGACACTTTCGGAGCTCACTGAGCTCTTCCCGGAGATAAAAGATGATGACCTCGAAAAAGTATGACACTCTTCCCTCTGACAGATCTAACACACAGGCCCGAAACTACTTATAAAATAAGGTCTCATAATTTTCTTTCCTTATGCATCTTTGATCCCTTTTTTCCTAGCCAGGTGTCATTACGACAGGTTTTTTTCCAGCTGGGAGATCGGAGCGAAGAAGTAGTTTCTCAAAAGTCAATACCAACTGCATACCGCAGATAAAGGTGGAGAGAACATTCCATAAACAATAGCGTTGGCACTGTCCCCAGCCTTAGCTACCTCCCATGACTGTTCTGCAGCCTCAGGCTCTGCTTCCTGTGATTCTCATAATAAAAGAGCCCAGCATGATCATATGAGATTGGATACTGTGCTTACAATGTCTATTAAAATGAATTCTAGGGCTTCCCTGGTGGTGCAGTGGTTGAGAGTCCGCCTGCCGATGCAGGGGACACGGGTTCGTGCCCCGGTCCAGGAAGATCCCACATGCCGAGGAGCGGCTGGGCCTGTGAGCCATGGCCGCTGAGCCTGCGCATCCGGAGCCTGTGCTCCACAACGGGAGAGGCCACAACAGTGAGAGGCCCGCGTACCGCAAAAAAAAAAAAAAAAGAATTCTAATGTGATCTTTGTAGTAGGTTTAAAGAATGCAGCCAAGAATTTAAACATTCTAGTGAACTGAGTCCTAAATATCTAAAAAGAGCAGTTCGTTTTTACAAGTCAGAATTTCCATTTAAAAATGTATCACTGTTTTAAAAATAGCCCCAAATCACACAATAACCACGTGCTAATTTTTAAGAGCTTGCACCCTTTCCAAAAGGGAATATTTTGGTGAGGTATACTGAACTATACACATTTCCTGAAATAGTTCCGATGGTTTTTTAAAAAGTAGAAAATAGTTTTCTTAATTTTCCACATTTTTCTTACTTGTAGTTAAAGATTCAGAAATTTAAAAAGTCCATCTATCTTTATGTGTTTATAAATGATTCTCTTACAACTCTTTAGGACCCACTGGGTGCCAGGCACTGCATTAAGCTCTGGGAATAGAGGGGAAAAGAGAACACACACGATTCCAGTGCCAAGGGTCACTGGTCTAGTGACACAGACGGTGATGATACAGATTCAATGACAAATGTACACATAATTACAAACTGTGGCGTGCGCAACGAGGGGAAAACAGGAGGGTATAAAACGTGTCACAGAAATCCTCCCGTAGAGCAGACTCTGGGGAAGGAGAAATCTCACAGAGGAGGTAATAGTTAGGCTAACACCTAAATGATGAGAAGACACCAATTGGCTAAAGGTGGGAAGAAGAGCATTCCAGGCCGTGGAAAGAGCACGTGCCAAGGCCATGGGGTGGGGAGTGGGAGAAGTGAAAACAGGCCACAGTGGCTCGAATGCGGTGAAGATGGCGCTGGTGAGGTGGGCAGGGGCCCGAACGCACAGCCCCTCATGGGCCCCGGGAAATAATCTGATTTTTATTTCAGTTGCGATAGGAAGTCAATAAAGTTTGAACTGAGAAGTGACATGATCTGATTTAGATTTTGGAAAGATCTCTCTGGCTATTGTTTTGAAAAAAGACTGGGGAGAAAGCAAAATATAAAAAAGGAGACTCGTTAGGATCCTACTGGCAGATGTGGTCACGAGGGTGCGGGCAGCAGGAACGGAGGGCAGTGGAAGGTTCCAGACATACTGCAGAAAAGATGGAGGGTCAGACGTAGTGCAAGAGAAAGAAGATGTCAAGAATAAGCCCTAGGTTCTGGCTTGAGGACTAGGTGGTTTGAGGAGTCATTTAAAGAGATAAGAAAGACGAGGGGAAGCAGGATGGGGGTGGTGCTGAGATGGAGTTGCAATTTGGAGATGTAAGCTGTTTGAGGCTTCGGAGAAAACCAAGAGCAAGAGTCAAGAAAGCAGCAGCAGGCGTATCTCCTGGCACCTACCAGAGTGCTTGGCATGTGCTTAATAAATACACGTTGTATGGAATTAGCGTTTCCCCCATGGCAGTGGAGGATGTGCAGTGATGCAGCTCCATTCTCATTGGGTCCCATGGTAACTATTTGGCCACACGTCTGCCTGAGACACACTGAGGGAAAGGACTGCCTGTTGTCAAAATTTATCCACACAATATTCAAACCTAAAATTACCACTTCACAAAGACTTTCCATAATTCTACTGCCACCACATTTCATACACAATGAGAAATGCATTACCTGTGTCCACCCCTGGAGTGAAAGTATGTTCAGAACATTCTAATTCCAAGCAGATACCTGCTTGTAGGAGGCATTCCTCACATGTTTGTTGAATAAGTAAATAAAATCATAGGAAGACGTTATTTCTAGTTTTCAGCAAAAAGCGTTAAAATGTGTTTTAAATGCTCTTATAACTGTAAATTAATGCCAAAAAGTAGGTCTCTATTTATTCACATATCCAGCAAAAGCGTCATTTTAGAAACCCCAATTTCTTAATACCTATGACACAGTAAAAAACAAACAAAATTTAGAGGAAAAGGAAATGAGTGCATAATATCTGCTCTTCATTTAATTGCATCTGATTTCGGGAAACGGTAAGAAAAAAAGCACAGTTCCATGGTTCAATGTGTGATTCAGATTCACAAGAAAAAAAAAAGTGCATGAGTGGTGAATGATATATTTTAAACCACATATTCAGAAAACTCATCCGTATTTGGGGCTATAAAGTAGTCAGGTCTTTTTTTTTTTTTTTTTTCGGTACGCGGGCCTCTCACTGTTGTGGCCTCTCCCGTTGCGGAGCGCAAGCTCAGCAGCCATGGCTCACGGGCCCAGCCGCTCCGCGGCATGTAGGATCCTCCCAGGCCAGGACACAAACCCACGTCCCCTGCATCGGCAGGCGGACTCTCAACCACTGCGCCACCAGGGAAGCCCAGTAGTCAGGTCTTTATTTCATATCTTGGGGGATAAAAAGCACATGTTCTTTAGTGTTCCCTAGGAGAAAATATATGTGGATTTCAACTATATGTTTATTACCATTTAAAAAGAAGAAACCATCTAATAATGCAAATAACTCTATTTACGCAATCAAGTTCATTCACACTATTTTCCCGCAGGCTTGGATACCTTAATTTTTAAAGTCAATATTAAACCACGTAAACATATCTCACTGCCCCATCCCCATCCCCTTGTCTTAATCTTCGATGGCAACACATACAAATGCATTCAATACGATGCAAGTCCCTTTTCTAAAAAGGATAGAGAAGTTTCCATTCAGCTGAGCTCTCATGTTGTAGTAGTATGATCACTTTCCAAAGCCAAGGCATAAAAGGTTTGCTATTCCTACAGCTCTGTAATGCAAACACATTAATGTAAGTTTTATATGTTTTACTGCTGTTTAAATGGCCTAGAAATAGAGTTCCTACTACTAGCTCCACCTGCTGTCACAACATTCAAACCTAAAATTACCACTTCACAAAGACTTTCCATAATTCTACTGCCACCACATTTCATACACAATGAGAAATGCATTACCTGTTTCCACCCCTGGAGTGAAAGTATGTTCAGAACATTCTAATTCCAAATACGAGGTTGGGTCTTCTCTGTAAACTGTCCCAGCAATAAAAGTTACCTAAACACACTTTGCTGTAGCTAGACGTTGGGATCACAACAGGAACCACGTAGACCTATACGTTTATCTGTGTTCATTATTAATCTGCAGAAGGTGTTCAGAAGTTGCCCAGGTAGCTGGACTCTACCAGTAGTTTTCTGACTTTGTTTTAGCTGTAGGAAAGGTTCTTCTTTCTAAAACAGGAACGCCCAGTGTGTAGAGATGAAGGCAAAGCTATTCGGTTTGCAGTGAGGTGGGCTCCTCACCGTTCCCTCTCCAGCAGTGCCTCTGCAAGTGCCCCCCACAGGACACAAGACTGAGGATCATGCCTCAAAGGCCACTGGGACCAATGATCTTTACGAATCCTTCCAGACTCTGCAAGTCTGTGCATTTTCCGTATCACTGAAAGCACTCCCTTCCATTTTATAAACTAGTCTTGGCGAAATGGACTCTTCATGTTCTATAATGAATATATATATTTTTTACTTTCCAATCTACTCAATACATGTGATATAGATATATCATATACAGAAGTGTTATCTTTTCCCCCTTTTTTGTTTTTAAGCAATTTCCTAGGAAGGTAATCATCTTTCACCACAGGGGTGGATATATTCAAAAAGTCCAATAAAACTATATAAATTTTCCCTCGAAAGTTGTTTTTTTTCTTTTTTTTGTGGCTCACAGTTCTAAGCTTCAGGGTCAGTGCGTACAGAGAAATCCTCTTGAAAATGTAGTCATCTAGTTTCTGGCTATCACAGCGAGCTTAAATTAGAAACTGCAATAAACCTGGGAGAATGAAAGAGAAAATAATAAAAATGCCAAGTGTTTTAGACTGTAAGTCTGGTCCTGGATTTAGTAGAAAAGAGAGGGCTCACAGTCATTGGGCCATCTATTAATTTTTCCAGGGATTGAAAATGCCTAAAAATGAGGGCTTAAAAGGATTAAGTGGCCTTTTAAAAGGTATAATACAAGCCTTTTCTAGTTTGAGAAATAAAATTCAGATTATGACTTTTGGAGGCCATGCAGGAAAAAAAAAAAGGATAGAATGTGTTTGCATAAAAAGATTGTAAGGACAGAAGGCCTTTCGTGGCATCAAGAGCAGTGAGCTGTCACAGTAAGATGGGTAAGTAAATTCAGAGGACTAATATTTTCTTCCAGCTACACGCCTAAGAGTAGGGGCATGAAGAGAAA